AATCTGCTCTTTTTTTTCTTATAAAAGTCTAAATAAAACAAAAATATTGGTGGTAATTTTTGACTGTGTAACTTTACAAACGGCACCCCAAAGATTGATCCGTCTGTCAGTCAGTCGAAAGCGTGGCTACGGGCGAGGAGGAGGATGGGAGTGAGAGAAGAGCGAGGTGTTATACGTTACCACTGGTGGCTTATTCCCCGACTCCTTCAAACAAAAAGCGATAGCATGCTGGATGGGGCGGGGCGGGGGGATGGCAGAGAGAGGGAAACAGGAACAAATGACAACGAGGTAGGTCATAATAGGGAACCGCCACACCACAAAGTCACATGATTCTGCTCTGTGGGCAGGGGGTACAGGAGCGATCGGTAAAAAAGAGGAGAGGAAGGGAGGGCAAACAGAAGAGGCACGTGGGTCAATAAAAATATCTCCCCTCCCCCTAAACAAGAATTATCTGTGCATTTTGAGCCGATGAGTGAATGTTCAATTTAAAAACACCTGAACCAGCATCCAAAACATCATCAGCTGAGAACAAACAACAGCTACAAAAACACGTAAGACAAAGTCGAGGCTCAGTTCATAACCTCAACAAAATTTTAAATTTCCATAGAGGCACAGATAAAAAAAGGAAAAAAATTGTGTGAGACATTTCCAGAGGGCACAATTAAAGCCAGCCAACCAATGGGGAGACAGAGGAAAGACAAGAGAAGAGAAGAAGACACTTACTGGGACTAGTTTCCAGTACCAACGGTTGGACTGACACTGCCAGAGAGCAAAGAAAGACAGAGGTGAACCAGAGGTGGGAGCAGACCTGAGCTGGTGCTAAAAGCTTCAACATCACACCAACGAAACACAATTAAATAAAACTCCCAGCAGGTCATAACTGGAAGAACATTTAACCCGATTCAAGATGTCTGACACTGCTAATCAACCTTAAAATAGACAAAAATAACTCAGTTTGACAGATTTTATGCTATTTATTGTGATAGTAGCAGATCATATAAGAGCCGTCATGAGCAAAATGCATTTGCATTTTCAATCTGAAAAGAGACTTAGTGACATGTCCGCAAAGGTTTTTTTTTTTAATGCTAGCCAAAATTTTAAGACGTGGTTAAAAATTCAACTGTGATGGTTAATATAAGTGGAATGAGCAAGAGAATGTCTTAAGGGAATTTTTTTCTGAATCAGAATGTGAGAAAAGTGTAGTTTTTTACCGTTTCCTGAACAGGCTGCAGGTCAGTACATGACTGTGACCTGGGAGGCTCTTCTTCTTCGGTATTTTCTCTCATTTTTTGGTTCAACTAAAAGCACAAAACAAATACTATTGAAGGAAAACTGAATGAAACTGAAGTGGAATGCAAACATGAAAAATCCTTTATATGTAGGCCTACGTGTCAAATAAAAGGCCGTGACTCCCGTGTGGCCCGCCAGTGGGGGTACCCCCCCACCCCACGCCCAAAATTTTTAGTTTATTTTTTACTTAACATGAAATTTGTTTCTTTTATCAATGGTAAACTTTAAATTTATGATTAAATGCAACAAAATAAATTTAATTAAAAATAAATGAAAGAAAAGTAAATGGAATAAATTCCTGTCCCTGAGCTGTTGGCTTGAAGTAACTGAGCAATTTAGTTGGATAACTTAGCATTAATGTCTGAAAATAAGCTGCTTAAAGTCATCATCAACCATAAACTAAATAATATTTCTGTATTTATTTCAGATTTAGTCAGTCTTAGTTCTTATCAGTGTTTAAAAGAGGACGTGTTAAAACTCTGTTTAGTCAAAGTTAAACATGAAACATCAAAGTTCATTACACGTGGCCCTTCGAGGGCCACCATAACGCTCATGTGGCCCTCAGTGAAAATGAGTTTGACACCCCTGGCCTACATGATACATGAAAAAAAAAAAAAACACGTAAGGCTGCAAAACACTTCCATGTCTCGTCAGAATGTACATCTAGATCAGGGCTATCCCAACTGGCAGCCCACGGGCCGGATGTCGCCCTCAAGCAACCATAATGCGGCCCACCAATTTGTTCATTCATCACTTAAGTCCAAACCCCCTGTTTTCTACTTTAATTACGTTGAGTTTTAGTTTGACATAGACATGTTTGGTATCTACAGAAACGTTAGAATATWGGCTAGAAATGGGTAAAAAACCATTTCTATGAATATCTAAAACAGTTGAAACTAGAAACAGTTGAAGATAAAACTATGAAAGTGAAAAAATGGTTTTAAAAAATTTGGCAAGTCAGCGATGTCAAAATAATATTTTTGTTAGAACAGAATGTGTTATTTTTGTTTTTAAAATTGTTTTATTATCACTAAATTTATTGGGGTTCTGTATGTTGTGTCCATGATTAAATGCAGCAAAACTATTTCAAAGGTAACAGATCTTTGTAATACTTGGTTTATTTACATAATGACTTTAATTGCTGGATATTGGGCCCCTGAGCTGTTTGATCAACAGTAACTGTGGCCCCCGGAGTGATTTAGTTGAAWAGCCCTGATGTAGATGTTGTCCACAACTGTTGGTCCAGAATCTGGAGGTACAGACGTGTCTGTGGTGTGTTGTTGTATGTCTTATTTGAGCATTTTTTTAAAGTTCATTGAACTTTAGATAGTCCTTTTTCCAAAAACCATTATCATTTTTAATGGAAAATATGATTTGTGGCTCTTTTTTGTAATTTAAAAAACATTTCCTTAATCAAAAATGTTTTTAAGTTTCCAACATACTAAAGCAAATTTACCACTGTCTGTTGATGCTTAAATTTACTTTAAATTTCACTAAAATTATTACGAATACTGCTTTAGTGAAATTAAAAGTTATGAAGAGAAAAAAAAATCCTTCTCGAAGCCGTTGATTTGAAATAACACTGTTGATTTTGGTRGTCTTACCCTGTTGACCCAAAAGAGGAGCGCATTCTCCCACGGAGCACCGACACCCATCTGCTCCGCCTCCTCTGCTATCTTCACCTGGCTAACCGTGTCCTTGGCAGTCAGTGACATTAGCGAGTCGATGAGGGCGAGGTGGGCGTTCTGCACCAATCGCAGACAAGAGTGATGCACTTAATCAGATGAGGACACGGTCAAAGATGATTTGGTAGAATTACATAAAAATGAGGATGATGAGGGGCTGGTGTGGCTGTGTATGGTTCTTCCACATGCTATTGAGGCTTATGTTTGTTAAATGAATGAATTGTCAATATTATGTCTTATTTCTTCAGACTTCAATCATTCAAACCAAAGTGACACATTAGCAGAGAAAATAATAATATTATTTTGTCCAAAAAATATGAATGTTATTTAAGAAATGATATGATATAATATGACACAATATGATGCAATACAATAAAATACACAACATCRTGAAGCAAGAGTAAATCAAACATGGACGAACTTGAGAATCACACACTCACTGTATTGATGGGGGCCTTACTGAGGTCCTCCTCTGTGACGTCTACATCCTGGACCTTTGGGGCCACACCTTTCTTGGTGAGGAGCTGCAGYAGGGCTGAGTTATCTGCCTGGGACCCCTGCGACGCTGGCAGGGAGACCCCATGGGCCTGAGCCAGCAGGGCCTGGGCTCGGCAGTAGGTCTCTGGGGAGAGGAGCAGCTTGGTGACGGACGGYTTCAGGTGCTCTTGTTCAAACTGGTCTTTGTAAAGCGGCTCTCGAAGCTCCACAGGAACATTTTCTGAAAACGAAGGCAATAAAAAATATCTCTATAAGAACTTTATCGTTAAGTGAGAGAGCTGTTAAACTCTGAGGAGCCTTTAAAATTTCCATCTGCAGGTCAATTTTTCAGTCTGCTTGGTTAAATATATCATGACTTATGAGTGAAACATCCTAAAGTCTTTAGATCGCATAAATTGCAGGTTCATTTGATATTAGTCTCCTAAGTCCATAAATATACTGTACCATAAAAACACAGTGAACAAACATCAGCACTTTGGGAACATTAATGAAACGAGAGAGGAAAACCTAAAGCTTCCTCACTTGCAGAAACATTTAAATGCTCAAATAGTTTAATATCAAGTTAAATAAATATGTGACACAGAAAAATCWAACATAATTACATAAGAAAATTGTTAGTTATTAGGTCCAAAATTGTACACATTTAATCGGCATTAGATTTTAAGAATTTGGCCAAATAGCATAAAAAMGTGACGCTTGTTAGAGAATTATAATGAATCGAGGTGACGAGCTGCTTAGCTTTAGCATGTTAGTTTTTTTTATGTTGCATGCAAGCGTAGGTTAAAAGGTGGGGCATTTAAAAAAATAAGTGTAAAAAAAGTGAATATTTAACAGCAAGTTGAGTTAAACATGAAGTGAAAGAGCTCGCCTTAATCAGCTAAAGGACTTTTTTGAGCTGTTTGTTTTGCAGGTAGGCTATAAAATAAATCTAACCTTCTTTTTGATATCAGGAAAAAAATCTTTTGCTGCACTGTTCATCAAGAAAGGCCTCCTCATCCCTCTCCACTGCAGAGGGAAGGTTTTTTTTAAGACTTGCACAGGAAAGGTCATCCTACAGACTGCTGCAAACAGACTGCAGATGAGGAGTTGTAGTAAAGAGAAAGTTCTGGGTGAATCTGGGGGCAGTTTGTCCTCACTGGAAATGAGGTGACAGGAAGTGACAGAGCCTGACTGCAGGAGAGGATGATGTCATCATCTACATGAACAGCTCAGCTGGGTTACTCATGTGTGTGTGTGTGTGTGTGTGTGTGTGTGTGCGCGCGCGCAGGTCATCTCAGACCAGTATGTGTGGGTCAGTTCATAGATACACACACACATATTACTCCTCTGGATAATCCTGGACATTGGAAAGAACGATTTAGTTGAAGCATAATTTCACAGTTTGTTTTCTGCAGCTTTACTTCTACATCCAACCAAAGATAAAGTCTAATGAGGTTTTTTTTTTTCCAATCTCTGCAATCTGCTGTTGTGAGGCTTTCTTWTGTAACTAACTCCTTTCCTCCCATCCTCTGTCCCATTTCTGTGCATGGCTGCGAGGAGACAAGACGCCCATCCGTGGCTCCACATCCACTGCAGGGTTTGGGAATGGACTCGGGCCTTACACAGACCTGCAGCAGCCAGAGGACTTGGGTCTCTGTGGAAACGGTGGAAATGGAAAGCAGACATTTGTGCCAATGACAGCGGAGGGAAAGAGACGGGACTGCAGAGAAACAACATGAAACTAACTCCATCAGGAAGAAACAGCCACCAATCATCACGCTTCTTTAAGTCTTGTGACTGACTCTCAGCTACTACCACATAACATCACAGCTCTGTGGCTGTAAAATTTCATGAGTTTCAYRAGATATTTTGCTAACAGACAAACGGGGTTAACTCCAGCGGTTAACRCAGAAATTTTAAAGAAACATCTTCTGCATTGATTAGAGCTAAATGTTGTAGATGTTTCTGAGCTGCAATTATACCAAGTTTAGCTCAGCGTCTGTACAAGTGGCAGAATTATAGCCGTTAGTGTGTTTTTAGAAGTCAGCTGCATGTGGAAGCTGTTTTGTATTGGGCTGGCTCCAAAAATTATTCAATTGTTTAGGACAGGGGCGGTTCTAGGAGTGGGGCCGCAGGGGCATTGACCCCTGCTGAAATCTGGTTGGCCCCCTGAAGTTCCCCTGTCCTGTCACTCATCTGTCCTTTGCCTGAGAGCGATGATGGTGGATGCAGTTTCATGCACAAACGCTAGAGGCGCTAATGAGTCAAACAGTAAAGTCCAGCATGAATCAATCTTACAGCAGTCTTCATCTCTTCTTTAAAAGACTTGAACAATTTTGCAAAAAATATCTTTCAATTGGCAAACAATGGCTTCATTTTCTCACATGCTTTGAGAGTATTTTATCCATGTTCAGTAAAAATGCATGTGAAATTGATAAGGAAGCTTTTTAAATAACATTACATTACGTTACAATTGATGTAACATATGTGACCACTTAAATTTATACACCTTACCAAAACCGAGGATTTATGTGCAAGGATGTTGAACAAATACTTGGCCCCTCCATGTGGTCCTGAATTGTGGCCCCTTGATGGTCCCTTACTCGGAAAAACCCTAGATCCACCACTGGTTTAGGAACATCCAACATGTTTGCTTCAGGCCTTGGGGGTTGGGTCTGTGGGTCTCCCCAGTCACATTCCATTGGAGAAATCTTGTATATACATGCATGCTCACAAACGCACACATGATCTGATGGTCACTGAATGTGTATGTATGTGTGAATGCGTGTGTGTATGTATGTC